AGCTGCATGACGCTCTGCGCTGCAGAGACGTGCTCCTGCAGCCTGACAGGTAACAATAATAACACATTTATTGTACCGCACTTATCTAAACATGTTACAAAGTGCTTCACAAAATATGGACATAAACACAGAACCAAACGGAGCACAGGGATGTTTTCAATTCAATTTTATTTTATAGCACTAAATCATAACATAACATTACTACACTTACATAATGTTAGAGAGAAAAAATATGTATAAGTTGCTAAAAAAAAAAGTATCACTGTCTCCCAAACCTTTTGTGGCCTGAATGAAAAGAAAGGTATTCCCATTAACTCATACATTAATATATACATTAAACACATGAGTCGTATGTATGAGTGTAGCTTTATTCAATTAAATCTATTTCAAGTAGTTTGATTTATTCAAACTAACTTCACATGATAGAGAACACATCATTGAATGTGACGCACTACACTGAACTCGTGTAATAGTTGCGTAGGGATATATTCAATCATTTGCTCAGTCTCTGTAATGTTGCTGTTGTCAGCCCCAGTTATTCAAGGAGTGTCAATGTGAATTAAAAGATGCTAATATAAAAAAAACACATACAATTCACACCTCAATATAATGATTTTTTTTTAGTTTAGTTTTAAATATCATTTATTTCCACTTGTTGAAATAAAGTCCATCGTTATTAATAACATTAAAATATCTCTGATCTGTTTAAGTGTCCCATTAGTTGTTTTTACATTCTGCTTCCATTCTCTTTAGTTTGCCTGCATTTCATTGAACATCTAAGTCACATGCTTCCTGTTACATCATGATTTATTCACTGCATCAGTTTCCATAGCACTTTGTCACAGCTCACGTTCTTTTTGCTTTTGGCTAAACTTGATATTTTTGCTTCACTGTCGCTGCTCTCACTGCTTAGTTTTTTTGGGGTCTCAGCAGCTTTTCACTGAAAACCTTATTGTCAGCAGTTACTTGGCAAATATAACATGTCGCTGCTGAAGAGCCAGATATTTCCCTTAGGAGTTAGTGGAGACACAGCTGGATTAATTCTACTGTCGCTCTGTAATTTGTGTAAATAACTTCCTAAGTTCACCATATCAATTTAAATGTTAATGTTATATCAATGCTGGGTTCACAGCTTATTTCTGCTGCCCCCAACTGGCCAAACAAAGTCAGTTATTGCAGCTCTAAAATATAATTCTGCTGCCAGTTGACTGTATGTATACCTTTGACCTCCGGGTTTGACGCAGGCTTCGGTCGCTGTTGGAGTTGTGGCGTCTCCGGGGCGTCATGCGGCTGCATTTTTACTGGAGTGATGCCTCCACTTAGTGCAGCACATACGCAAACTGGCTCCTTTTTGAACACCTGTTTACAGATACAGAAAGATTGATAGATAGATAGATAGAAAGAAAGAAAGAAAGAAAGAAAGAAAGAACATGTGTTCAGGTAATTGTCCGTGAAGCAGGGAGGACAAAATGTGCCACTGAGGACTTTTTGGCTCTAAACAAACCCCTTCAGGAGACATCTGTTCCCACAAACATGTTGATTGTCTTAATAAGTTGCTCTGAAAAAGAACTAATTAAATCTTATTCTTGGTCATGGTTAACTTCACCAGGGCTCTTCCCCATAAGACGTGATTATTGGACCCCAGGTGACTGTACAAACTAAAACTTAACAACCCATACACCCCTAACATCTGGTGCTGATGTGACAAGAGCTCCCAGGAAAACACATCCCTGTTTTAGTGTGTACTACTACTACAAATAAAATAAATATTACAGTGGGGAGCAACTGGCCCCTTCCTGAAGTCCAGTAGTAAAATAAAACAGAAAGAAACAGGATTAAAAATATTTCATGTCAGTCACAACAAGAACAGATGAAAAAAATGATTTTCTGATCCTGATATTTACTACGAGATGTTTGAGTTGAAGAGATTGTGCAGTTTACTGTTGTTGACTTAGTGAACTGTGCCATCACCAGATTGGATCATAACATTGTCCGTCCATTATTTATCCTCAAGGGTCGCACACTGACACTGAACGAGAGGCGGGGTTACACGTAGGTCACCAACACACCACAGGGCTGACATACGAAGAACACGCGAGTGCCACCCATCATACGAGAAAAATACGATTTGCTTCCGGTGGGGTTTTCCGTTGGGATGAGAGGATTGAAATTGCCTGATGGGTGTGGATCAGTAATTTTCTATTTTAGTTCAAGTCTTCATTCAAAACTAATCTGTATCTACTCACAATACAGTAGATACAGATTGATAATTATTATCATTAGTATTACCAAATATTAAAATTATTGATATTTATTTCTTATTGAAAAACTTTAAAAGAAGGATTAAGTGTAAAGTTTAGATTGCGCACGTAACACCGTAAATATAAGTATACTGAAAATGATTTAAAAACTGTGTATTGTACCTTTGTACATTGCATCAAGGTAAATTACACAAAAAACTGCATTAAGTGTAGAACGTAAATTGCTCATATAATCCTGCAACTATATTGCACATGAAAGCATCTGTGAGCGTATTGGACACTTGCCTGTCATATGGTTTAGTACAGTCCAGTGTGAGAGTGTGTGCGTAGTATTAGATTCTTTGCATACTTGGATTTTGACTCTTTTTTTATGTCTCATTTTACCACTGAACCGTAAAGAGCCACCTCTCCACTCTGATTCACAGTGTTCATCAGCCAGTGCACATTTCAACACATTTTCAGAGCATAGCCGAAATCAGGAAACTGTATGTTAAACAAACACAGACAGTACATCACTATTAATTCACCAAGTTAAATGTTTCAATAAACCTGATATAAGTTCAAGGTAATGACAGATAGTTATTGTGATGTGAAGGCGAAATAGCTTTTTCAAAGATCTACTTGACATGGATACGATTATAGGTTTGACAGGCTTCTCTATCACTAAATTTAGACAAAATACTGGATCCTTAAATGTCTTAAAATGTTATAATGGAGATCATGGTTTAGTTCTGCCACAGTTCAGCACTTAACAATTGAATTTTAGATGCCGGTTCACTTAATGTGTTGAATAATGAACGACCAGTAACTTTTATTTTCTGGTAACTGTCAGAGAATTACACTAAATGATCTTGATGAATGAAAATATTGCTCATTTTTTAAACTGGCCTCGTCTGGATCTAAAAGAAAAAGGTCAAACCTGGTTCACCCAAACATGGCAAATGTATTATGGAGGAGGAGGAGAAAGTGCTCTCGGCTGGAAAAGCTGAATACAAAGACAGTTTGCCTTCAGTTCTTCAGTACTGAAACATGTTCCTTGATATAAAACTTTTTTTTTTACCTCAGAGTGTTAATGTATTCTCAGTCTTCACATGTTATCATCATGTCATCACTTTAAAGTAATAATTTTCTATAATTACAAACTTCTCAAACAGAAAGAGCCACTGAAATGTTGCCAGGGTAATGAAGGCAACAAGAAAAACAGGCACAGGTGAATGACAGCTTAAAATGACTCCTGAGCTTCTACTTTAAAACAACAGTTTGAATATCCCACAGTCCTTAAATGAAACTTCCTCAGTAAAAGTCCCAGGAGGAATGAGAGGTCTGAGCTGAAGTCATAGACCGACTGAAAGCTTTGACCATTTGCAAAGTCACAAGTTTAGGGAAAAAGCAACAGAATAATTTCCCAAATAACAATTTAATTTTTCCGCCAACTCAAAATATATGTTTGGTCTCACGTTAAAATTTCGTGCATTTCTTGATTTCATTACGTAAGAATTTAGATGCTACTAGTTCAATCTTCCAGCATGAACAACACATAGCTAAACCTATATGTAAATGATGTTTGTCAGTCGATTGGTTGGTTGGTTTCTCAGTTGGTTGGTCGGTTGGTAGGTCAGTTGTTTGTTGGTCTGTTGGATGGTTGGTTGGTTGGTACGATCAGTAGGTATCGACCGAACAATTATAATTATGTATTATCACTTTCTTTAAACATTGTTGGGCATATTTATGCGACTGATACATACGAGTGTGTGAATTTTGGTGTGACTTGATTGAATTTAAGGGAATTATGGGGCCTTGCGAGAGGTATGCACTACTTGTGAGTCTAGTTTTAACCTTTATGTTCTATTGTTCGCTGACTTTGTTTGGACATTTACAACTAATAGAAAAGCACGTTAAAGGCATCTTAAAATTTAAAGCTGTGTCAAAACGTCCCTTGGTTGAGAGTCCACTGTGTATCCAATGGCTTTAAACCCTACATGACTAGTTAGAGAGAACTCACATAGGAATAGAAAGCCATAAGACACAGTTGTGGTGTGATTCTGAGGACAATGACAGAAAATCACAAACTCAGAGAAATCAAGCAGTTAGAGCTGAAAGCTCGAACACAAACGAGGGGAATAAAAATCGGGGTATGTTGCAGGCAGCATTCAGGATTCAAAACTCACATCCGCATGAATAATTAACTAAAGAAACTAGAAGTATTCATCTGAGGCCCGGGGGAGACGAATGAAACTGTCTTGTGAGTCTTCAGACAGTAGAAATTGTATTTCTCACAGTACAAACTGAAATAAATTGACCCCCATATCGAGGCTTGAATCTAACAGCAACATCCTGTGAAACATTCAATTCCTCTGGGGGGGTTTGTAGAGTACTCTTTGATTAAAAATGCAGTTTTAAATCAACGTCTACAGGGAAAAGGTACAATGTTAATCAAAAGGATTTTGTTTCTGAATTCAAAACAGATTACGTAAACTCTTTCTATATTCTGTAGAAACCCCCTGCTTGACTTCCTCAAGCACAAAGGAGAGCATTACCTCAGCATTTTAATTCAACCACTGAGCACAGGAAGCTTTGCAGTTTTTTATTAACAACCAAATATGTTTTTGCAGATATGAACGTCTGTTTTCCTGTGGTTCTGTTCTTGGAGCTGATGGAGCTGAGGATCATCAATCGCAGAAACACCACTGCTGTGCTTTAGGGATTTTATTACAAGTCTTTTCATGCTCCTGAGACTTCTAAACCTCTGATGAATTCAAATAACAACTGCACCCCAAATTAATTCTGTGTCTTTTCCAAACATTAAACTCAAACCAGACACCAGACTGTTTACCACACTTCTAAGCAGCAAACTGTTGGAAGTGCTCTGGGCCGTTTACAGCCCCTTCTGAGAGACGCAGCATTCGAGCCCAAATCTGCTCGCCCAGATGTCTGCTCGGAAAACAGTAGCCTTTATCAAAACATGAAAAAATCCTGCAGACAGGGAGGAAGCGGGCTACTACGGAGGACAGAGGAGGCATTTGTTGACATTGTATCAAGTGCAACGCCGAGGTATTTGAGGCACAGAGGGGCCAGGTATTTGTCAGTCAGTGTTTCTTGTGCTTTTGCTGTCTCCAACCCAAACAACAAAAGCCCCATTGAGGCAGCCTCGTCTTTTTTTTTTTTTTTTTTTTTTGCCCTGCACAAGCACACAAAGCTTCCTGTACTCCGCTGCAACTGTCCAGGACTGAGAAAAGCACTTCTAGCCATCTTTGTGTGCACCTGTTTCAAGCAAGGCAGGGAAGTGAAACACTTTGTTGGATAGTTTCACATCTTTCCTCGTAGCTCTGATATGCTCACTTGGATTTCACTTCTTCTATCATGTAATTCTAACTTTCTGTATGACAACTTTAAACAAAAGAGATAAAACAGGGCGAGGTTATGACCAAAAATCCAAATGTTTACACACTTCGGCTCATATCTCATAGGCTTAATACGCTGGATACTCACATGGCGTCGAACTGAGAATATTAACTACTGAAGTGTTTACTCAATCAGCCTTTTCCGGGTTTGGAGAAATAAAGGACCACTGCCACTGAGCTCCAGGGAGCCTGTGCTCATGCATGTCTCAGCATAAATTAGAAAAGCCCCTGTGTCAGACTCTGTCCAGACAAGAAGGTGAATCTCAGCCACAGGGAGGATCATCTTTAATCCCTAAACATCGCTCAGGGTCCCTCTCTGCTGGGAACCATTTCAGGCAATCATCAGTGGCCAGATGTTTTCTTAATGGCTTTAGATTTGGGCCGTGTTTAATATATTTTTAATGCCTTCGTCTGTTCTTTTTGACAGGAGGAACTGAGCAGAGAGAAAGAAATTGCCAATACGAAACTGTGTCCAATGTTGCAAATGACTAAAATCTCACTGTTTCATATTCAGACACTGGTTTTGAATGTAAAGATACAGATGAGGATGAAGGTTGGCCGCAGATTTCTAATTCTTTGTAGAACTCGCCTTTTTCATGCATCAAAAACATCCCCTCTAAGCATCTTCCAGTGGCAGACCAGACA